TTAAGCTTAAAAATAGCCTAATGGGGGCCGGCCCGGTGGCGCACTGCGCTAGTGCGCCGCTTGGGAAGCGCGGCAGCGCTCCCGCCGAGGGTTCAGATCCCACATACAGACCGGTTCCTGCTCACTGGCTGAGCGAGGCGCGGGGGCAACACCGAGGTTTGCGATCCCGTTGCCGGTCCCGGTCCGGTACGGGGGCGACACTGAGGGTTGCGATCCGTTGCCGGACACGGAAAAAGACACACACACACACACACAAAAATAGCCTAATGGGACTAACTGGTACCAAATGAAAAATGACAAATGTGGGCTCTCCCTGCTTCTCGACAAAATTCCTGCTGCACAGCAGTGTCGAAAAGGCCGACTAAAGGTAAGAGAGAGAGATGAGGTTCCCTTCAGGGTAGGCAGAAGGGAAGCAGAAGGCCTCACATATTCTAAATGGCTGGCATGTAAAAATTCTATAGGCAGTCTTATTTTACTGGAACAGCATGTATTTGTAGGAAGTGGGATTTTGTGACTTCAGACTTTCTTCCCTTTCATTGAAGTGGGAGGGCAGTGTTTTCCCTCCTGTGGTTGGCTTGATTCTTTCCTGTGACGAGGTATTTTGCTAAGTACTGTGTCAGCCTCCTACCACCCACCACCTTCCGCAAATCCTCTGTTTGGGATAGTGGGGAGCTCAGGAAGTTAGAAACTGGAGATGAACTGGGGACAGGGAGAAAGAAAAAAAGGTTCTGAGGATTAGAGGAAAGCACTGAAGAGTCAAAAAACCCAGCTGGCACTGGTGATCTGGACCCTGTCCCCTTAAGGATAAAGATGAGCAATGGGTAGGCAAGTTTGGAATCTGCTTCTGAACCACTGAACCACAAAACAAAACTCTTAACATAGCTGATGTCCTGCTGAGCTGGGTTTGAAGCTCCCCTCCACACACTATCGTAGGACTGAGAAGGGAAGGCATCCCCCTGAGTCTGAGTTTCCTCATCTGGAAAGTGGCTGGCCTTTAGCGGTGCTTGGTAAATACTCACTTAACCTCCCACCTATCCTGCACACAGATGTCAACATGCAGCACTGACAGTTGTGCCCTTTCTTCACTCACTTGGGGGTAGAGGAGCTACCCCCATGGTTAAACGATATGCATGAATAGTGAGACTGAGGGTTCACAGTTGCACCGGGACAGTTACAGTACAGCATGTTGGGGGAGTCTAAAAGTATTTTTTAAATATCCTGCCCATTATCATTCAGAAATTATTGCTGGGATGGTGGTATCTATAGGCTGGCCTTTAAGAGAACTAGTTTGATATATCAAAGATCTAGTGTTACTGGGTGCAGGAATTGATGGCCAGATATCCTCTCTGAGAGGTCACTGGATGGAAAAGTAGTTTTATGCCTGTTTGTAAAAAGAAGCAGATGATGGTCATCTGGGCAGCTAAAATGCGTGTAAAATGTAAACGCTGGGAAGAACATACTCCACATGGAAGGTATTGGAAAGAGCCAAAGGAGTCAGTTTTATCCCCTTAGGACTGTGATTCCACATGCTGCTTTTCTCCCTAGAGGTGGATTTAGCATTAAAGTCTAGCCATGTCTCCAGAAATACTTGTCTCTACCTCTCCCTGTTCTCTCTCTCCCCATCCTCCCTCTCCCTTGTCTCCCTTCTTCCTGCCCTGTCCCCCTCCCCCTAATCCTTCTCAGAGGGAATAAACAATAATAACACAATGGGTATTTAACTGTATGGCCTGTAAATACCCATTTTATAGATTGAGATGAATGAGACCACAATTTATAAACCTTGGGCCTTTCTACCCCCAGGAAATCTTCAAGGATGTAGTTTGCTTTTAGATTTAAATATGCGAGGGGTACAAGATAACTCACCAGAGTCTTCTGATTTATCAAGATTTGTCAAAATTTGGCAAGAGTCCTAGTCTTATGAGCCTGCCTCCACTTTCCCTCCTTCCCTCCCTCAAGGGGAACTTGAACTTTTATTTCCTAAGTCACCCCATGTGGGGTGACTGACCTCCAGAGGAACCTTAGCCTGTGTAGATGTTGCATAGTGTCCCGTGACCGCTGATTTCACTGCAGTGTGACTGACTCACCATCTTTTTTTTTTAATCTGGGAAAACTACATAACCACATTAAAGAGTTCTGTAGCAGCAGAAATAAAAGACCCATCATCCCTCCTCCCTCACAGTCTTCATGACTAATTTCCTGCACATTCAACTTGGGTTGTCTGCTTAGCTCTCCCTGGTTCTTGAGTACAACTGAAACCCTCACCTCCTCCTGCCATCAGCAGATTTCGTCGAAAGGCCATAAAGGCCAACTTTAAGTAATTGTATTTAAGTAGTTGCTCTGCAGACATTTTGGACTCCAGTTGTTGTGGCTGTGCTGCCCAGTGCTCGGAATGCGGTTCCACGCTTTTGTAGGAATAACTAAGGTTGCTGACACCCAGTGTTTACATACAGCATTTTTGTTCAAGAAAAGTGGTAACGCTTATGCACATCGAAAATGATGATTTTTTAGGGGAATGTGTGATCTTTTTATAGAGCAACAAATTTCAAAGCGCAGACCTTTTTGCTTAGTGCTCTCCTCCCTATTTTATTCAACTTCCTCTCTTGAAATTACAGACTATGTCTTACAATTCAGGTGCTGTTTACCCAGTTTCATCATGCCTTAAATGAGTGCCTCTTTTTGACATATATCTCATTTACTATTTCACTTTCAAGCTTTTGCTAATTATTCTCATTGCTAATTAGAATCATAATAAATATCTTGTCCTCAGGTTATGCTGTCAAGATGATGGCTTTATTGGGGGTATAATAAACTTCTTTAACTTTGATTTGGCTATTTTACCAACATGTTTCTCAAAATCTTGAAGATTATATAGCACCAAAAACTTAAGCCTAATAAAGAATACTTAGCTTAAAGTTTGTTATAAAATGATCCTCCAGAGCAGTGATCCTTAAAATAAGAATTGGGAAATTGACCAAGATGGTTGACCTATCTTGAAAGGATATGGTCTCCATATACCCTAAGCTAAACTTAATCTCTTTTCTGAAACCTACCCTCAATCCGCAGTCTTCTATTGGAGCAAATGGAACTGCTATCTTCTCAGCCCTCTGACTCTCCCCTCCTTTTCTCTTGCACCCAATTCCCTGACAAATCCCATCCACCAGTGCTTCCAGCATGCGGTTCTTCTCCCCTCTCCACTGCCACTCCCCTAGTCCAGGCCCATATAAATTGGTTTCTCTCTCATCTCTCTTCCTTCTACCCTGTTCTACACACTGCTTACCCTCCTTATAGATTTTCTTTGTAAAGCATTACCCCAGGCTTCACTGCTTTTCTAATGAGGACCTTAATGTCTCTAGGATGATGCTTCTCACACTTCAGCATAGACCAGAAACCCCTGACAGGCTTGTTAAAACACAGGTTGCTGGATCACACCTCTGGAGTTTCTAATTCAGGTGGTCTGGCATAGAGCCTGATAATTTGCTTCCCTGACAAGTGCCTGATGTTCCCCAGACCACACTGAGGATCTCGGCTCTAGGAAGAGCCTGTGCCCCTTGGGTACCAGGCCTACTCCTGTCTGTTCCTTCTGACTTCCTCCCTGCTCTTCTGTTCCTCCGGTGCTCCTGTAGACCCTGTTGTCACTGAAGGATAAGACTTGGGCTCCTTCAGAACAAGCGTGTGTCATTCACCTGATTCCCATCTGCCCCATTTACAGCTATGAGAACTCCTCAGCAGAATGCAGAAAGTGGTATTGCTTTTGAAGAGATACCATTGAGAAATGCCGTGAATGAATGAATGTCATGATAAGAGGTATAGAAGGCCCCATCCTAAGCAGAGTGTCCTGAGGACCCACCTGTGGGCCGGCCAGGCTGCCAGTACCTCTAGGCCAAGGTTTGACAGGCAGAGTGGGTTGGGCCAGTAGCCAGGAGGCAGTTATTTATGGCAATTAGCCCATGTTCATCATACATGCCTCTTACTTTTCTTATCTTTTTTTTACTCCTTCTCATTCCCCCTATTCTGTGTCATTCTGTCCTCCCCTTTTTCTTCCTTCCTTCCTTAGCCTTGGTGCCCTGGGTTTTTTTTGGTGGCTCAATGGGTTGAAGAAGCTTCTGATGTTTATTATAAAGCCACAAAATGGCTTCTGAATGTTAGGCTCTTTGTTGGAGTAAAGATACGGGTTACGGAGGACTTGTAGTTAGGGCATGTTATTGGTTGTGTGAGTAATATTCTACACATTCATATACAGGAGAGTTCTTGTTTAACTAAAAATAACCCTGGAAGTGGACACATGGTATCTCCCTTTTACAGAAAAGAAAACAGACTCAGGGATTAAATAAAAAGATTTTTCTGTCTTTAGGCACATGAAGAATAACTTCTTTGCTTTGTAAAGTAGCATGTTGTTGTTAATAATTATGTTTGGAATCATGGTTATAGGTTTTAGAAAATTTCTGCCAAGATAGAGAAGATGGTGTGACGATTAGAAAATGTGATTGATGTTTACTCCAGGAAACTATTTAGATCAAGAGTTAAACACAGATTTGTAGCACATAGTAGATATTGAAACAATGTATATTAGTGTATAAGCACAGAAAAAAGTTTGGGAGGAACTTATTAAACTGTTAATAATAGTCATTTGTTTTCCTCAATATACTTCTGTACTGCTTAGATGTTTTAAGAAACATCATGTAAATTGCAACATAAGGGGAGACAAAAAAGCAAAATAAATTGTAGAAAGAGGAGCAAATAATTTTAATTTTCTGAAAAAGGGATGCATGACCACAGATCTGGCAGTCATTACCTTATAAAGGGTCTCCGCATTGGTTCTTCCCATGAGTACATGTGTTCTCACCACCAATACATGATAAATACGTGAGGGAACAGACATGTTCATTAGCCTGATTTAGCTGTTCCACAGTGTGTACGTATATCACATCATGATGTTGTGGGGTTTTTATTTTTAACGCTGTCTTCTAACACGCTGCTCTGTTTGTCTGTCTTCATCATAGGGTAGCGGTGGTGCTCGAAGATCTGCGTTACTTGATAGTGACGAGCCCTTGGTGTATTTCTATGATGATGTCACAACATTATACGAAGGTTTCCAGAGGGGTTTACAGGTGTCAAGTAAGCATTTTACTGCATTTATGTGACTAACACTTCTGTTTTTCATTGAGAAAGCATGGTCTTCCTTCCAGAAAAACACATTTGCTCATACCTTGCTCCTGCTTAGTATCGCTCAAGCCTCTGCCTCCTCCCATCACTTTTCCAGAGTCAGTCCCATATCTCACTGGACCCTCTATATGTTTGTTCCCAGTGGCCAAGGGGTCTCCACGGGCAAAGATGTTTTCAGCATGTCCTGTATTTTATGTAGAGTCACATATGCATTAGCTCACGATGGGTTCTGACATGTCCTGTGATAGAGACCTGTTTAATTGGGCCTAGTCCAGCATTTTTCAAGCTTACTTGACCATGTGACCCATATTTTGAGAAAGACATACTGACATCCCAAGGAAGCAGTGTTCCGTCAGAGACATTTTGGAAATGTTGGCTCATGAGATTGCCCTTAATTATTAACTGTGGCCTAAGAGACCCTGTGATATCTGGCACCTTCCTCCAGCCTCTCTCCCTTCCAGGTCTTCCCTGTGTATGCCCCTTAAGGCACACTGAATTTCTTGTGACCACCTGCAGCCAGGGTGCTTGATGTGCTCTGTATTGCATTTCACGTTTTCTCTAAAACCTTCCCGGTCTGCCATTTTCATCCCCTTCCCCCAAGTGAGGCGTTTCTCTGCATGCCCTCCCAGCATCTTAGAGCTACTTCCGTAATGACCCTTTGTGGTACAGAGGTGTTCACCTGGCATCTTGCCCCTGCAGCCCATGCTCCTCGAGAACAGGGCAGCCATCAGTTGTCTCTTCTCCCAGCACTGACACTGTGCCTGCCACAAAGGAGGTGCTCCACTAATGGACCCTCAGTGAAGGAGGGAACATCTTCTGGGTCCCCCACCCCTCTCTTTGTTTTAACCACTTCATTTTTGCTTATACCACGTTCCTCTCTAGAAATGGTCTTTGGGATCCATGCTTTGTTATTTAAATCTTTTGGTGGTTAGCATTTATCTTTGCCACTGCTAGCTAGACTGTAATTTCCTTATGGTCAGGGACTGTGTGGTTGTGCTTTTTCTCTCCCGCATACAATACGTTGCATGTAATATGTGTTTAAGAAGTACCCGTTGTTTTTTACTTGATACTGGTAAAATTGGATATCTCAGCTCAGTGTGTTTGCCACAGTATTCCTATAGCAGGTTCATTAAGCCTCATTATAAAGGGAAAGCATACTTGCATATTATTTAATTTATGAACTCTTTCAAAGTTAGTATCAGGGCCAGGGCTCATCTGTGATAGTAAATATTTATAAGATAATGCAGCCTAACATAAGGCCACATGAAAGAGTTTATGTGTGTGGTGGGGGGAGTGTTCTTTACTACTACCGCAAAGCATGTATCTATATGAATATATGTGTATATACACTATTGCCATTGTCAGCAATGGGTGAGATTCATATGGTGACTTACATTGTACGAGGGTACTTCAAAAAGATTGTGGAAAAGTTAAATTAAAAGGTAATATAAATCTTTCCATGAACTTTTCGAAGCACCCTCGTACCTCTGACTCTTTCTGATCTCAACACAAGTCACTTTTTTTTCAATCATTTGCTCTACTTGCAAAATGAAGGTTCTTCTATGAATATTTTAGAGAAGGTGAAGGGAGCTGCTCTCCAGGTCATTGTTTTCTTCTTTTCTTTACAGAGGAGCTTTCTGTTCTAAGTTTTCATTTTCTTAGTCTACCATAGGATTAAACTTTTATAGAAGAGCAAAACCTAGTATTTGCATAAGGTGGTCAGAAGTTTGTTGAAAGCCAGTCTAGATTTTTTAATCCTAATATTTTAAAACGGCACGTAGGAAGTCATTTATAAAAACTGAGTTCCCTTTTTTTTTTTTTCCCCTTTTTGTCTTTTTTCGTGTCCGGCAACGGATCGCAACCCTCAGTGTTGCGCCCGTACCGGACCGGGCCCGGCAACGGGATCGCAACCCTCGGTGTTGCGCCCGCACCTCGCTCAGCCAGTGAGCGGGAACCGGTCTGTATGTGGGATCCGAACCCTCGGCGGGAGCGCCGCTGCGCTCCCAAGCGGCGCACTGTAGCAGTGTGCCACCGGGCCGGCCCCTGAGTTCCCTTTTTTTTTTTTTTTCCCCTTTTTGTCTTTTTTCGTGCCCGGCACCGGATCGCACCCCTCAGTGTTGCGCCCGTACCGGACCGGGCCCGGCAACGGGATCGCAACCCTCGGTGTTGCGCCCGCACCTCGCTCAGCCAGTGAGCGGGAACCGGTCTGTATGTGGGATCCGAACCCTCGGCGGGAGCGCCGCTGCGCTCCCAAGCGGCGCACTGTAGCAGTGTGCCACCGGGCCGGCCCCTGAGTTCCCTTTTTATCAGTAGTTCTCATCCCTAGCTGGGGAACTTTTAAGGCTCAGGCCCGATCTCCATCTAATTATATCAGAATTTTTATTAGTAAGGCATGGGTAAAGTACATTTTTTAAGTTCCCCAGGTGAGCCCATGGATTAATTACAGTATTCTAGAGCTGGAGTTGGCAACCTTTTTCTGTAAAGGGTGAGATAGTAAATATTTTAGATTTTGGGGGCCATATGGTCTCTGTTGCAACTATGCTACTGTAGCCTTAGACAATGCATAAATGAATAAATGTGGCTGTGTTCCAGTAACACTGTGTTTAGAAAAACAGGCAGTGGGCCTGATTTGGTCTTTGGCTGTAGTTTGCCAATATGTGTTACTGAGGGATAAGGTAGCGTCATTTCATGCAGCTAATGTTTTTTTTTTCATCTAAAAACAACATCTGATGAAACTTGTCATGTACACTCCTGTCTTTGTTACAGTCTCTCTAAATTGAACAGGGTCTGAGAATAAGGCTCTTTCTGTTTTTGTCAGGACTGTTTTTAGGGTAGCAGAGAAATCAGTGTGTCTGGCCTCTGAACTAAGGGTGGGTGAACTGTCCCACCCTCATGATTCTTGAATCTGCACGCACATCACACTTGTCTTCTCTCAGGTGTAAGTCTGTGACATGTAGGGCCATCCCCTCCCTTCCTTCCCAGTTTCCCCACACCCACAAACCAAATCAGGACACTTTCACAAACACTCAAACCTAAAATGGTGAAGTCAGATGTGTAATGGTACCTAAATTGGAATCGGGATGCATCCTGATACTTCTTAACTTTTGCCTTCACAAATGCTCTCTTATCTCCCCCCATTTTGTATCTTTTCTTCATTTTTGTTTCTCAGCAATCAAGACTTCACCCATGTAATTAGGATTCCAGGTGATTCTTGATACCTTTGGTCATCAGAATGTGGCATAAAATATTTTCCTTTTCATGTTGTGAGTCAGAATAAACTTCTTTAGAAATTTTGAGGGATACCTCTTCTGAAAACCTACAGCAGGATCTTTTTACCACTTAGCTACTGACTCCTGGTCTAAACCAATAGGGCGTTAAAGAGGAATTTGCAAATTGAGTGTCCTTGAAAGTTGTATTTTCCTTTTCTCCTATCTTTATTCCCTCTCCGATTTAATAAACAAAACAAATACACAAGCAAACAAAAAAATCAGGGAGAAAACATCTCCAATCTGAACTCATCATTTCTAATCTGAGCACTAAAGTATAGTTTACCTAATATTTTGTAAAATGAGATGGGATATACATTAAGCTCTAGGAATATTAATACACATTAAGTCCATCCTTTGTTTTTTGTATTTTTTTTTTCTTTTTTTAGATAATGGCCCTTGTTTAGGCTCACGGAAACCAGACCAACCTTATGAATGGCTTTCATACAAACAGGTGAGTGTTCTGGCTCTGGGCTACTCACTCAAACAGTGATGCTTCCATGCAGTAGTTCTTGGAGCCTTGCATGTTAGGGCTGGAAGGTTTCTACAAAGAGTGTGTGCTGGACTGGCTCAGAGCTTCAGGATAAACGTGGAGCATCCAAACAGAGAAACTTGATACAAAGATTTGGGAAAAACAAGCTAAGTAATTTAAGTGGTGGTTCAAAACACTTTATTTTAAAACTGATATGGACGCATTGTAGAGTATAATTTTTAGGATAAAATTCTAGAAACAGCTTGAAACAGGTGACTCTCATCTAGTCCTCCTGGTGAGATAGGATTACTCCTCTCTGCCTGAGGGACACTAGAAAAACTTAGACACTCCAATATAGAGTGTTCCTCTCATTTCGTAGATGAGGAAAACATGCCCCAGGAAGAGATGTGACTCGCCCAAGGTCACAGCTGGTTAGAGACAGAACCAGGACCAGAAGTGAGATCTGAGCAGTCTTGTGAAGAGCTCTTCTAATGCAGCATACTGATCCTCACAGCTGTTCTCAGCCAGCTCACCTCCAGGGTGCTGTTTAACCCCAGGTCAGCCATAGGGAGAAATGCAGATATTTGGGAAAAAAAACTTATGTGACTTTATAAACACAAATGTCACTCTCCAGTCCCTGGTAAGGGGTGGCTACAGCTGTTTAAATAGCCATTTGTGAATGGCAGGTAGCAGAGCAGGAAGGCATTACTTTTTATTTTTATCACGATTACAACAAATCTGCATGCCCCTGCTTTTCCCTGGTCCCAGGGGTACCCTGAGGACAGGCAGGTGCAGCTGAAAGCTTCAGCCTTGTTGCCTTTTGTTTCCAGTGCAGCTGTCCAGGAAATGGCTCTGTCCCCAGGCTGCTGCTTCTCCTCATCTGGGGAGCAGGTAACCCTGTGGCATTCATGAATAAAAATTAACTTCCTCCTCCTGTGTTTTGTATGAAAGGTATTTTTAGTAGTTGATGTATTTGGGGGTATATATGCGAAGGGAGTTGTCATTTGGGGCCACAGAGCCACACTCATGCCCTGTGCCTGTTGGTTCTTCTTGGGCTGAAACACATGATTTCTTCCCTTCTCTCCTCAGAGGGTAGACAGAGTGGGAAAGGCTTTGCCTGAGAAGCGTTTGTCTCACTCTTGAGAGAGTGAAAGGGCGGAGCTACTTATGCGTTGCCTGTGAAGGAGTGATAAGCTGTAGCTCAGGTGACCAGGGGGTTTTCCCTGCCAGGTAGTAGTTTCCTATCCAAACAGTAGTTTCCAAGATCCCTCATTTTCACAAGCGGTGGAAAAAGTTTGTATGTGCTGGACACATAACAGCACATGATAGTCCTAAGGCCTCCCAGAATCCTCAAATGCATTCCAAACTACCTCTGTTACATTTATTGCCTGGAAGAGAGAAAGCACGTCCATTGCAGATTGGATTTTTCAAGGCAGATTGAAAATCACTGAGGTTTCTGAAGGTGTTCGTGTACTATTTGTACATTTTAGTAGGAGGCTGGTGATGATATAAAAGTAGCCTTAACTGAAGCCAACTCTGGACTTGTACATTTACATCTTTTTTTTTTTTTTTTTTGCCCAACGAATCTGACCATTTGGGGGCTAGGAATCCCTTTGAGGTATTTTTGAAGGATATGGACCGTCTTTCTAGAAATAAAATGTATGCATATGATCTCATTAAGCTCTGCAAACAGTTGCAAGCATTTCCCAGGCTCTGATCCCTTAAATGCAGCCCAGAGTTGTGAACTAGTCCATGGAGTAGAAGGTAATAAGCCTGTTCATGTTCTCCTGCTGTCACCTCACCAGTGTCAGTCTAATTCCCATAGGCAGGGCTGGGATGACACCACGTGCCAGAACCAACAGGATTTGGGCTGGGGATGGGTGTGGCTTTATTTCCTATAGGAAGTAGTGTGCTCTAAGAGTACTCTAGAGAATTCACCAACTAAGCATAAAGAAAAGAACTTCAAATTTTAAGGTGTTTTTAAAATTTTAGTTTATTTGGGGTAGGAGTGGGGAGAGGATGGGAATGGGTATGCAGTCCTGCCTAATTTTGTGAATCTACCTATTTTTATTTAGTTGGTATAATAATATGCACTTTTGTATTTACTGATGTTGCTTATCATTGTTAATAATATTATTCTAAGTTTGGTATGGTTTTCATATTTGTAGTATTTACTAGCTATTAGCATTTTCTCAGATTTATTATTATTTACTTAACCATCCACTCTCTGGTATTTTTTCCCCTAGAGTTTTTTGACTTTAGATAATTTTGAAATATATATCTTTTTACATAGTCTTTTTAAAACCTCCTGCTAAGATTGAATTATTTCCTAAGAATAAGTTCTCAAAAATGGAATTGTCGACCCTAGTGATAAAAGCTTGTTCTTATTTTTTTAAAGGTCTCTCAAAAAGCTTGCTATTTCTGTGTTTATAACAAATGACAAATTTTGGCTGCTGTGCTGATCTTTGTAAATACAAAAAAAAAAAAAAAGCTATTTTCCTGTATTACTTTTATAAATTTATAAAACTAAAATAGAAAACAGAAATGTCTAGGAAGCCCTGACATATAATCATCTGTGACCTGCAGCTGTTGGGATGAGATTAATTTGCTTTGCAGGAAGAACCCTAAGATCAGTTCTTTTAATAGTGAGTTCTGGCAGATAAAACCTTGTATTTCAGAAAAATTTGTAAACAAAGGAATATTGTTTTATTCCTTCTCCCCTTCTCTGTGTAACACAGTTTGCTGGCTTGCTGGCTGAGATTACAGTCTGTCATCCAGTAAGCTTGGCTCCTTGAGATGGGGCCTGATGCTGTTTCTGAATCTTTCTCCCCATTTTAGGTTGCAGAATTGTCAGAGTGTGTGGGCTCAGCGCTGATCCAGAAGGGCTTCAAGACCGCCCCAGATCAGTTCATTGGCATCTTTGCTCAAAATAGACCTGAGGTATTAACCTTTAGGCACTTACTATATTGAGAGTTCTCAGATACAAGAACCAGTCACAGTTCACACCTACTTCTGCTTGAGATCAGATTTTGTGGTATGATTTCTACTGAGAATATGGTTTTGTCTTACACATGAGAAAGTTACACCTATGAAGACCTGAGCCAAGGAGCCTTCTTAGTCTTTAAAAGGGGGGAAAATAACTTTTTAAAAAATTGTTTTTGTTTGTTTGGAACCAGGTCCTTGAAGAAAATCCTGAGAACAAATAACTAAGATGTCTCTCACTTTAAGGACTACTGCTATAATTAGAAAAATAGCATTAATAAATCAAAGAGAAATGTAGATGCATTTTTGTTAATAGCACACTGTCATCTTTTCTTTCTGAAAGGTATGAGGCTTTACCTCTGGTCAGATTACAAAGTTTAAAATATCACCTGAAACGGGGAAAGTAGTGGGGAAAGTACCTCGTAAAGGACAGGGCTTCATTCAGATGCCTGTCATTTGGCTATCTAAACCCAGCATGGTACTTCTGTAAACCATTGTATGAAAGTGAATTTAAGTGAGAAGCTCTTTTGTAGGTGTTGCTTTTACTGTTAGTCAACAGATTAGTGGCATAGCTGGCTTGGAAAAATTTAAGCATTTGGCTTGAAGAAATTGAATTTATTCTTATACCTACTTGTGTCCAAAAGACATGTTTGTTCCCGTGCTGCTTACTATTTTATAAATTAGAACAGATTCTTTAAGTTTTATGTTCTGCTAAGGAGAAAACAGCATTTTCCACAGCTGGACTATGACTAGGCTCATGGAATTTAGTTTCTTTCATGCCAAGTGAACACATCCAAAATTTTCATTTTAGTGGAATTTTATCACTAACCTGCAACTGTAAAACATATTTCTTACTTCAAGGAGTAGACTCTTTCCTATACAGAGACTTAGTTCAACATTTGTTTATTGGGCACCTACTATATGCCAGCCATTTTGGCAGGCACAGAAGCACATGGTGACTTGGATCTTCTTCCTGAGGTACCACGTGAAGGAAGACAGACTATAGGCTGATGCTTTCTCTGTAATGTGGTATGTGTAGACACTGGCCAGAAGAATTATGGAAGCTCAGTCAAGGAGGGCTTCCTAGAAGTGGTACCTAAATAGTCTCAAAGGAAATAGGGGTGGGGAGCCCAATTAATGCCAGGAGCAACCACATGTTCACATCAAACAGCATGTCTGTGTCAGGGAATGAAGCATTTTAATATAGTGGAGCATGGACTGTCAGTGCCCTGCCAAGGAACTGGGACCTGACCTCCATGTTGGTAGCTCGAACATCTATTTGTTCCAGGAGAGAAAAACAAAACACAAAAACGCAGTACCAACCAAGTGAGTGGGAGTGGAGCTGAGCTCCCCTTCCCTGGTAGCCGTACTTTTATCTGTGCCATGTGTCGGAGTTCTGCAGGAGGATTTCATTTGAAAAGTGCAGAAATAATGGAATGCCCCTGAGGATTATAAATGGAAGAGGGATCTTGCCACATTTGTCTGATAGGTAGCTCAGTTGCTGTGTGGCCGATGAGTTTAGAGGCAAGCTGACCGGTTACTGTATCCTCATATTTCTTTTCTTCATCCCTTTCTTGGGTATTTTACCAAAACAGTTTTCCTGTTAGACAAGTATGAACCCTCCTTCCCTTATGCCCAGGCCATACTGTACCCTGCCACCAGATTGAGCTTCCTCAGACCCCACTGCCATTGTGTCGCCTAGAAGCCCTCAGTGGCTCTGCATTGCCTGCGGGATACAGTCGGGTGCCTCCAAAGACACAGGCTAGCCCAGCCCACTACTCTTTTCTTGTCGTTCTCCACATCCCTGCTGGAACCATCCATGCCAGCCAGGTGGCTCTCTGCCCTCCCCCCTGCTTTTGATCATGCAGTCCCCTCTGTTGGAATCTCTTTCTCTCTCTCTCTCTCTCTCTCTCTCTCTCTGTCCACGTGTGCTTCTCTTGCAAGAGCAAGCTCAGTTACCTCCCCCACAAAGGCATCTCAAACTGCCTCAGCCCACGGGGGCTCTCCTGTCTCTAAGTCATCGGAGTTGGTCACTATCTTGTACTGTTAATTATCTTTTCACATATTTGCCTCAATTCTTTAAGCAGATTGTAATTTCTTTTTAAGAAGAGGGAGTGTTTTGTTCTCATTGTGAATCCCTCATGACACCTGGCACATAGCAGCTACACAAATGTTAATTTGCTGCATCAAATGTTTTCACTTTGAATCTCTCTTAGGGTATTGTTCTCCTTACGTTAATTCCATTATGACATCTCATTTTCTCTCCCCAACATTTCCTGTTTGTTCAGTGGGTGATTATTGAACAGGGATGCTTTGCTTATTCAATGGTGGTCGTTCCACTTTATGATACCCTTGGAACTGAAGCCATCACGTACATAGTCAACAAAGGTACGTCTCTGATTTTTTTTTTTTTTGGTGGCTGGCTGGTGTGGGGATCTGAATCTTTGACTTTGGTGTTACAAGGTGGTGCTCAACCAACTGAGCTAACCGGTCAGCCCTTGTCTGTGATCTTTGGATGGACATTGGCCCAGTTATTGGTTAGATTCAGTGACTTTATAATTGTTTATATTTAATTTGATAGGGATTTTATGTTTAAATGTATATATACCTTTATATTCAAAGAATGTAGTACTTAAAATAACCTTGTGTCAGATATTAGAGTCAAGATTTAACATCCCAGAGCTTATTCTTCATTGTATCTCTTCATTTATAGCTGAACTCTCTCTGATTTTTGTTGACAAGCCAGAGAAGGCCACACTCCTATTAGAAGGTGTAGAAAAAAAGTTAACACCAGGCCTTAAAGTCATAGTTCTCATGGATGCCTATGGCAGTGATCTGGTGGAACAAGGCAAGAAGTGTGGGGTGGAGATCATCAGCCTGAAAGCCATGGAGGTGAGTCATTCCTCTCTTCCCACTGCTCTGAAGGGTTTCTGGGGTCATTTTGGATCAAATGTCTTGCCACCGTGCAATCCCACCTCTGGCTGGTCATCTCAGCAACCCATAAAAGAGTAGAAATTTCTTTGTTATTACTGGAAACAAGAATTCTACGTGCATGCCCAGTGTTAATACATCACATCTTACAAAAGCACTTTTTCAAAGTGGGTTACAGTGCTCACATATTTATTCCAGAGCATTGACAAGCCATGCCAATAAATGCCAGAAATGTGAATTTCACTTTCAGACATATAAATCTAAGTTTATATGTCCTCTTTAAGCCGTAATGTCTTTTATTTACTGATTTGTCTCTAAAACTCAGCTAGATGTAGAAATCTGCCTCATCATTCTTTTTCTCAGGTTGCTTTTGTAAAATCCTGGTGATTTTCCAGTGTAGATGTCTGATTTGGTTTGTTTTCTTACAAATTTCTTAATATTCACATTAATCATCACTTTAAAGGTAAACATTCTAGGAAAATAAGTGTGGTCCATATTTAAATTAGTTGTTTGATATCAGATCATATAAGCTAATGTCCCTAGTTGGACTTGGATTAGAGTTCAATCCAAGGAAGCTGGCAAAATGAGGATCTTTTTATCTGCACATCATAGGAAGTAATAGGCTAGAGTAAGTCATTCTCTTTCTGAAGATGTTATATTTTTCTGAAATTTTATAAATAGGGTTTTTAAATTATATTTATAGTTCTCCTCCTTCTACAAAGAATTTGAGGCTATAAGTAAGGATCTATAGAACTTTTCCTGAAGAACGTAATCATCATAGGGAAACTGCTGTTTGTTCTAACAGAACCTTCTGCCCTCGTGCACACACACGTACACACACAGAAGCATAGAACATGATTCCATCAGCATTAATGGGTATGTTTCATTGTTAAATTGATGTTTTAGCTAACTTTTTACCTAACATTTCCCCATTTTTTTAAACTTTTAATCCCCTTTCACAATAATATACAAATGGTTCCTGACTTCCAATGGTTCAACTTATGGTTTTTTGACTTTACAATGATGCTTTAGCACAGTATTCCATAAATTAGAAGATATACTCCACATTTTATTATTAAATAGGCTTTGTTTTAGATGATTTTGCCCAAATGTAGGCTAATGTAAGTGTTCTGAGCACCTAGAAGGTAGGCTGGGCTAAACTATGATATTTGGTGGATTGGGTGTATTAAATGAACAGTATTTCCAACTTACAATGGGACTATCGGGATATAACCCCATTGTATGCTGAGGAACATCTGTAACTTCTTTTTTCCCCACCTTCTCTTCTCGCCCTGGCCACAGACTTGGCTTGATGTGACCTTATTCTTTGCAGTTGGAAAACGTTTCCATTTAAGATTTTTTTTTTTTTTCTCTTCTAATTAAGGACCTGGGAAGAGCCAACAGACGGAAACCCAAGGTAAGTACACTGTGTCAGACCCTGCCGTAACCCTCTATGTAGTTTTCAATATCTACTATCATTGGAGATCAGTAGAAATCTTGGGCAATACCTTATGGCTTATAGTTTTCTTTTCTATTCAAATTTATACCAGCTTTATTAGTTTTTTTAATCTTCTTTAGCCTCCATTACCTGAAGATCTTGCAGTAATTTGTTTCACCAGTGGAACTACAGGTAAGTTTTGAAATAGACTTGCTTGTAAGTGGTATCTGGAAGTCTGTATTCTCAGTCCCCTTTTCTGGATGACTTTTTAGCTAGCTATAGATGGACTGAAAACAGAAGAGGTGGAAGTGATTCAAGTGTTGTCTTCTTGTTGCTTTGTTAAGGTAGTCTCAGAATCTGAGAGTGCCACGTATTTCCTCAAAAGTTTATTGAAAGTGACGTTAGATTCACCCATCTTTCTAGGACAGACTACATCAGTGGTTCTCAGGAATAAAATTCCTGAGTTTTCTTCTCTTATTGTTACACACACCCTCTAAAATTTGCTCATATTAATAAAGATTGTTGTAGGTAATCTTTAGATAGTAAGTTTCATTGAAAGGGATTGCAAGTTACTCAGGAATTTAATGTTACTCAACATCCTGGCTTTCACAGGTGTAACCTAACAGAGGTATTTGAGGCTCTAATTGTGTAGGGTTTCTGGGCTTCCTTCTGTCATTCTTTGATGGGGTTTCTTAAATCTAACTTTGTTCTGGCTCATATGTGCTCCACAGGCAACCCCAAAGGAGCCCTGATCTCTCATCGAAATATAGTGAGCGACTGTTCAGCTTTTGTGAAAATGACAGAGGTAACTTCTTGGGATATTGTCATCTTTCTTCATATTTTTTGGTTGGTATTAGTCCTCAAGAATGAACGTGGTAAAGGCAGCACTGCCGTGTTAGGTCCATGTTGTATTTAGAACACCATCTGGAATATAGATAAGGTCTGAACTTTAATACAGCCAAAGGTCACGAACTTCTCTCAAATGATTTTTATTGTGGGCCTGATCTCCAACTTTTGCATGTGACCCTTAAGGTGACTTGACAGATGGAATTTTCTACAACTTTTATATAGCGAAACTTTATTTGGATACTGCCCTATAAATATTTCCAGAAAAGGACAGAGAAGAGATGACTCTTTAATGCTTTTATCAACCATTCTAGTGTTGGGAAAATAATTTAAGTTGGCAATGAAATGTTAAAGGCTGCTGAAGGTTTTTGAATTATTATTATTTATTGTGATCAATTTGACTTCCATTGTAGGAGAAGGATTAAAGCCTCGAACTTCAATTAATTTCCTGTCATCTTAAAGTTTGCCATCCAAGTGTCTTAGTCTGCTCAGGTTACCATAACAAAATACCACAGACTGGGTAGCTTAAACAACAGACATTTATTTTCTCACAGTTCTGGAGCCTAGAAGTCTAGGATCAACTGCCGGCAAATGTGGTTTCTGGTGAGGGCTCTCTTCCTGGCTTGCAGACGGGCATCTTCTTGCTGGGTCCTCACATGGCCTTTCCGCTGTGCATGAATGGAGAGAGAACTCTAGTGTCTCTTCCTCTTCTTATAAGGACACCAGCCGTATCAGATCAAGACCCCTCTCCATACATTGGGGATTAAGACTTCAACATGTGAATTTGGGAGAACAAAATTGAGTCCATAGCACCAAGAGTATATTTCAAACTTGCCTTTTAAAAAGGTATTTATTAAACAATATAATGCCTTTCCCTCATACTCTTTTCATGCTTTTACAGCTCTTGGGAGTTTTCTGTAGTCTGCATTTTTTGTGACAGGAACCTGTGCTTACTGGTTTTGGGGAATGGACAACTTTGGTGGCTGTAGATGATTGATCTTTGAGGGATCTTGCCACTTATTTCACTCTACTCATACTTTCTTAGTCCCAAATACCTTTTTGGGTGTATACTTTCTTTTCTTTTTTTTTTTTTTCTTTTCGTGACCAGTAAGGGGATCGCAACCCTTGGCTTGGTGTAGCCCACACCGCGCTCAGCCAGTGAGCGCACCGGCCATTCCCATATAGGACAACTTTGGTGGCTGTAGATGATTGATCTTTGAGGGATCTTGCCACTTATTTCACTCTACTCATACTTTCTTAGTCCCAAATTCCTTTTTGGGTGTATACTTTCTTTTCTTTTTTTTTTTTTCTTTTCGTGACCAGTAAGGGGATCGCACCCCTTGGCTTGGTGTAGCCCACACCGCGCTCAGCCAGTGAGCGCACCGGCCATTCCCATATAGGATCCAAACCCGCGGCAGGAGCGTCGCTGTGCTCCTAGCGCTGCACTCTCCCGAGTGAGCCACAGGGCCGGCCGAGGGTGTATACTTTCTAAATAGAGTTCAACATTTAGTACCTTACCAAAGTGAAATTTTAATTTCCTAATTGGCCTTTGAAGAAAACTTGCTGGCTCATTGGGAAATTATTATAGAACTTTGTTTAAAATCAGTTATTATATAAAGGAACATTCTCAACTTTGTAAAATTTCTGATCATGATAATAGACTTTATTTTTTGTACTAAACCAGAAAATTGAAAAATATAGATATTATTGAGTCTGATTTCTCAGTATATAACAATTTCATGCTGAGAAGTACTAGTTGGGATGCAGGTCACATTAAATAAAATCAAGCTAAGACTATAGCATGCTCAGCCTACATCCAACACTTTCAGGTTTCTGTGTCTGCCCAGAACTGGGGCTTTTATCTCTTGTCACATAATTATTAAGGATGACCCAGCTTTGGGGAGGGCAAGGGCATGGCTCAGAAGTAGGTGCATCACCCCCTAGGTAACTTGACAATACACTCATTCCTTGGTGTGGTTGCACTTCCTGTTGGCAACCCCCTGTTTTAGCCAAAATTCTTTGTTAATAAATGAACATTCTGTGCAAACTTACGTTGTGCCTGCCACTATGTAAGGCCCATTCTGAGGGAAAACAGGTGTCCAAATTTAATCTTCCTCTGGACCCATCATGGTCAGCAGTATATAGGAGAGCAAATCCCCCAGTGCCTGAAATGAGGTTATGTTTAACAAATTCAGATATTTTTCATGGGGCGAAGTAAATCTTTAAGGTAAAATGTTGATCAAACTCAAATACTCTAGATACATTTATACTGTAAATAAAAGTACCTTGGAAACAAAATTTCTCTTTTCTTCTGTCTCATTTTCCCTTTGCAACATAATATGCTATCTTATGTTGAAATGGATCTTATATTTCTTACCTTAAGGTGGAATTGAACTTGCTAGGTAGTGGGGTACTATAACTCTGAAATACTAAATGGTCAGAACACATAATCCCTTACCAGTTAAATTTGGGCAAAATTTTCTTTGTTTTGATTAAAGTCCTAAAGTGAATTTACTTTGTCATTAAGAATGACCACTCCTCTATTAGAATAATTAAAGTATTACTTTTCAATTTATTCTTTGAGAAAAAATTGCAGACCATAAGCGAAAAGCTGTTTCTCCTTAATGGTAAGGTACTATGTGCTCTCTGATGTAAAATGGAAAAATGCTGGAAATCTTAATGCTTCTCTGCTATGCTGGTGTCTTTGTTTACAGAATTCAGTCAATCCTTGCCCAGATGATACTTTGATATCTTTCTTACCTCTCGCCCATATGTTTGAAAGAGTTGTAGAGGTAGGCATTTAGTTTTGTTGTGCTTGCTTGCTTGTTTGTTTGTGTTCTGCTAAGTTGTTGTGTTTTACAGAAAATACTTGCCTTGAATACCAGTGACACACACATTTCGTTTTTACCACTTGCACACATGTATGAGCAACTATTGCTGGTAAGTTTGATGTGTATCCCCGTAGAGAATTATTTGCTCAGCCCCATTTTAGAAATGGTGCAAATGATTCGAAAGAGTGCAAATTCTTTTTCTGGGTCTGAACTGTAGATTTGAACTTTAATAATTTATTTTAAAATTAGAAGCTCCAATTTTTGGAGGGTACAGAAGAATTCTGGAGGAATATGGACATGATTCCAGAAAGATTAACTGTGAAAGTAAAATTTTTATGAATTCAAATCTTACAAAGCCTAGTGAGGCTTCTGTGCTGTAAGAAGTCTCTATTTTTGATTGTGCTTTGTTCATAATGCACAAGTTGACTTAAGACTAAGTTTTTCACCAATATCCTAGTGCCCTTGGAAAAGGAGGATGATCTTTAGCTTAACTGTGCTCCCTGTACACAACTGTGCAACTAATTTATAAACTGACCAAAAGGCTTCTTTTTCTCCTTTGTGAACAGTTTTGGATTTTATACTATAAGAGAAACAATGGGCACCATTCATTCCTTTCTTGAATATTTATTGAGTGCCAGCTGTGTGCAGGCACTGTGCTAGGTGTTGGAGACAGAGAGGCTTTGGTTGGCTGCTGCCCTGTAGGATTTACTTACCACTAAAGGATCAAGGGTCATTAGATCCTATCTTCCATGTGTTACTTCTTACTTCCCACACACCTCAGAATCTTGTGAGTTTATAAAGTGATCTCAAATGAGTTGCTAATGGACCATATGTACCTAACTGTCCTTGTAGAGGTATATCTGGGAGGTGAGCCACACCAAACAAAAGCCTCCTGAGTTTTAATTTTTAAACAGTGAACCATAGTGTACCTTCCTAGTGGTTTCTGCTTTCAAGCCGGGGACCATTTATACTTCCGTTGCATCAACTTTTGAATCTCCGTTTTAAAATTTAAAATAGGCAGACTATGTGTCAGGTCCCTATGACAGACCAGTGCGGTTTGCACTAGACAGGAAAAAGAATCATGCAGTACATTATAGCTGAATGGCAAGCCACTCTGGTATTAGATATCCCATTGTCTCAACTTCAGCATGTCCAGCAGCTTATCAGAAATCTTAGTTAGATTCAAATAAAAGAAAATGAAACTTTAATAAGATTGGACTGTAGGCAGGTAGTTACATTTTTATTTTGAGAATAAACTAGACCTAAAGTTTCTGGAAGGCTAAAAATATTTAGAGTATAATTCCATGTCACTCATTCAGTAGATATTTATCACAAAGCTAAAATAGTAGAACCTCTATAATCATGACTAAAAACAACATACCCTGGTTTCATGCTAACTCCTGTACCTTCAGCATGATCAAGAGAAATACCACATTTCTATGTTATACAATGACTGGTAAATACAAAAACAATTTTTAAAAAGCTGCCTATACTTAGAAACTTCAAGATTTCTGGAAACACGCCTGAAATGCTAAAACTGAAGTCTCGTGTGTTGTCTGTGTGTGTGTATGTGTTGTGTAACCCCTGAAGCAATGATAAATGTTTGCTGTTTCTAATTACTTCTGTAGTGTGTAATGCTGTGTCATGGAGCTAAAATAGGATTTTTCCAAGGAGATATCAGGCTGCTTATGGATGACCTCAAGGTGCTTCAACCGACTATCTTTCCTGTGGTTCCAAGACTGCTGAACCGGATGTTTGACCGAGTAAGTTACAAGCGGCAAAGTGTGGGAGACAGAGTGTTGGACTCTGAGTCAGAGGCTCAGGTTTGAACTGGGCTCAGTCCTGCACCATCTGTATGGCCATCGACAGTCCTCTTAATCTTAAGAACTTCAGTTTACTCATCTGGAATATTAGCGTCCATTTCCCTCAGAGTTGTTAGCAAGGGTTATGAGAGAAAACACATGTGAACACACTGTGTGAACCTTAAAACAAAATACTATAAGTAAGGTGGGAGGTCATTTTATTTTTCAATGAACTCTTTGAGCCTCTGCTTTCTCATCTGCAAAGTGGACTGTTCCCTCTTCTCCCTTGATGTCTGTCTCATAAAGTTGCTAGGTGGATCACATGAAAACATTAACTGTGAAATGGTTTTAATCGATTGTAACGCTCCATGCATATGTAGAATCATGCTTACTTGGCTTCATTGAGAGAAGCAACTCAGCTGAGGTGGGGACCAAGAGAATGCCAGCCCCTCTGTGGTGGCCAGGACCACATGGACCACACAGCTGGGGCAAGACAGTGGGGAAGGTGAGAAAGTGTTGGTGAACAGCGTGGGCGATCTCCAAAATGAATTTCCATTGGGCAGTGTTACTCTTTATTTTGAGGCAGGGCTTCTCATTTCTGAGAACCTTCTTATTTTTTTCAAGCTTTATTGAGATATATAACTCACATAGCTTACAATTTACCCATTTAAAGTGTACAATTCAAAGGTTTTTAGTATAGTCACAGAGTTCTGCAACCATTGCCACAGTCAATTTTAGAAAATTTTATCACCTCAAAAAGAAACCCTTTACCTACTCTTTAGCAATCATCCCCCACCCTCTATCTTCCTCTACCCCTAAGCAAATACTAATCTACTTTCTAAATGTGTAGATTTCTCTATTCTGGACTTTGATATCAATGGAATCATACAATCGTTATGTGTTCTTTTGTGACTGGCTTCTTTCATTAGCATGTTTTCAGAGTTCATCCACACGGCACATGTCAGTACTTTATTCCTTTTAATGGCCAAATGATATTCCACTGTATGGATATAACACGGTTTATTTACTCATTCCTTCATCGATGGGCATTTGGGTTGTTTTTCCCTTTTGTTATGAATAGTGCTGCTATGAACATTCATATGCAAGTTGCCGTATGGATGTGTATTTTCATTTCTCCTGGGTATCAACCTAGCAGTGGAATTCCTGGGTCATAACAATAACTCTGTGCTTAGCTGTTGGAGGAACTGCCAGATTTTTTTTAAAGTGGCTGCTCCATTTTACATTCCACCATCAGTGTATGAAGGTTCTCATTTCACCACATCATCATCAATACTTGTCACTATCTGACTTGTTGATTCTAGCCATCCTAGTAGTTATGAAAACCTTATTTCTTGCCTCATTAGATTTTTGGACAAGCAAACACCACCCTGAAGCGATGGCTGTTGGACTTTGCCTCCAAAAGGAAAGAAGCAGAACTTCGCAGCGGTATCATTAGAAACAACAGCCTGTGGGATAAACTCATCTTCCACAAAATACAGGTAACAAGGAGACTCACAGCTACCATTTCTCATAAAACTAATTTGGGTTTCAAAATTTCCATAGGACTTTTTTTTCCTACCGCTCCTCCCAAGGCTTTTTATTTCTTTAAAGAGAGCTATGAAGGTGAGGGAGAGAAATGACATGTTTTTATTCATTTTGACACATGTCTAAAAATTAAGGACAAACTATTAAGTAAACTTCAGTCTCCAAGATAAATCTGAACAATATGGTAGCTACCTAGGAGGAAAAGGATTCAGGGTACTGTAGCCTATCTGATTCTCCATCTTGTTGAGCTTTTCCGGAATAAGTCACTATTGAGGTAATTTATTTAAGTGTGAGTGATAAAGAATCTGTAATAGTGTCCCCAAAATGCCAAAATTGTGGTAGATGCCACGCATCCACCACACTCTTGTTCGCTAAAGTACCTGTAAGCAGAGGTGCTGGCCCATTGAGAAGAAATGGGGTAGTTATGGGTAGAAACAAATTTAATTCCTGTGCTCCTGTTATGAATATGTGTGCATCGTCTCCAGTGTAAGTTTGGTGCAACCTGCAGAGGAGCTGGTGGATTAGGGACAGGGATCTCCTGCAGGTATCTTTGACTGAGGAGCCCACAGACTCCCAGATATATACTGCTCACTTTCTCCCTGTCTCCCTACCTCGCAAGTCGAGCCTGGGTGGAAGAGTCCGGCTGATGATCACAGGAGCCGCACCAGTGTCTGCCACAGTGCTGACGTTTCTGAGAGCAGCCCTTGGCTGTCAGGTGAGGTAGACTCATATCACTGGATTATCCCAGACTTTATAATGCTGAGTCTTCTTTTTTACCAAAAGTCATTTTTATTCTTTTTGTGTCATGTCTATCTCTTTTTTTTTAATTGACAAATAAAAATTGTATATGTTTACAGTATACAACATGATGTATTGATGAATGTACACATTGTTCAATGGCTAAATCAAGCTAATTAACATGTGCATTGCCTCATATTCTTTTTTGTGGTGAGAACAGTTAGCATCTACTCTCTCAGCAATTTCCAACTGTGCCATACACTGTTATTAACTATAGTCACCATGTTGTAGAATAGGTCACTTGAACTTACTCCTAACTGAAATTTTGTGTTCTTTGACCAGTATCTCCCCAATCCTACTCGCCCTCCAGAGTGTGTATGTATGTGTCTTATTTTTATTTGGAAGGTATGTTATTGCTAGGTTGCTTGAAGAAATAAGCATGTATAACTTCTTATCCTAGCAGGGGTGTATGTGTGTGTGTCCACCATTTTCTCTAGGGTAAGGCACAAGATTCACCTTTAGAGTCAGGCATGCAGGTATGGGAATGGGTCATGAGTGATAACCCACCTGCAAACCATGCTGAGAGCCTCTTTTAAAGGGGGTAGGAAGACTTGGTGACAGATAGGACACATGTGGGGTGCACCCATAAACTGACAAAGCAAATGTGCTCCTAGGTGGGGAGTGGCCTGTCACGTGGGTTCTCCCTTGCAGAAAGTAGAAAATAAACACAACAGCTGCTGCTTGGCGTGGGGGTGAAGATGTGTGGATGCTATCAGAAAGTGTTTTGTACTATTGAATGAACTTACTAAACAGAAGATTTGAAAAGACATTTCACCACGGTCAGCCGTTACTCAGGAATTAGTGGAACTTAATTACTTGTGCATTTCCAGCAAAGGTGTGTGACTGTCCCCCCCTTTAATAACATTTCATCTCTTGGTGACCCAGTTTTATGAAGGCTATGGGCAGACGGAGTGTACTGCCGGGTGTTGCTTGACTGTGCCTGGAGACTGGACAGCAGGTATGATTGGAAGGAGAGTCTTTTTAGGAGTCTTATTTTTCAAATTGTGTTATTGGAATTATTGGAGTTGGGTTAATCATTGGTTGATTCATTAACCAACTTAAATAGTATCATATTTCAAATAATTGGGCCTTGGGGCAAACAGTCTTATAAATCAGAGAGCTATATGGAAAATGCCTTCCGTGGCCAAGTGTGATGGAATTTGGGGGATCTAGCTGTAAAGCTGGGTAGGAGTAGAGATTTGCCTGCATCTTTAAGGCAACATCTGAGAGAGGATGTCCTTTATACCAGATTCAGAGTATCTGGCCCAACAGAGCTTTCCAGTAATTAATTGGGGTTTCATTATTTGCTGGTAATTTTAATTCCCAAATAGTTATTAAGTTTATACTATGTGCTTTGCTAGGTGTTGGGACTACAGTTAGAAATAAACACAAGTCCTTTTTCTCAAAAGGAAGAACGGGGAGGACAAACCCAAAAATAATTGACTGGGCACCTGTCATGGATAAAGTTGTATGATGGTTGCTTATGTCGTACATTATGGTGGCTGGCCAGTTAGCTCAGTTGGTTAGAGCATGGTGCTGATAAATCTAAAGTCCAAGGTTTGATCCCTATATCAGCCAGCTGCCAAAAAAAAAAGCACATTCTGTGATTTTAATCCCAACCACACCCCTGTGAGATAAGTACTGTTACTCCTGAGAGGAAGTGCTTACATAGCATGTAAATAATGTATAAGCATTTACACAGCATTATGCTTCTGAGCCAGGATTTCAGCCCAGGTCTAACTGCGAAACTTCTGTGCTTTTCTCTATGCTGCATGGGTAGTATATTCTATACTGTGATAAATAAACTTCCCTAACTTATTGATGTATTGTAAATATTAGCATTATCTAGTAACCTAATCCTACTGAGATTGACACTGATAGTTTTTGAATCTTCTTCATGGTGCTTGTTTAATTTTTTTTTCTTTTTTTTGTAAAAATAAAGCCCACTTTATTGAGGTTGAATTGACAAACAAAAAGCTGTACATATTTAACACATACAACTTAATAAGTTTGAAGCTTGTTTAATTTTTAACCGCAGGTTCCTTAACAGCCAGAGAATTTGGACTAGTGATCTCTATAAGCTAAAATTATTAAAACAAAGGAAGAATTATTTTTCTTACCAGCAGAGAATTTGGAGTAGTGATCTCCATAAGCTAAAATTATTAAAAAGTAGGAAGAATTATTTGCAACGCTTTTAGAACATATCTAGTATCTGTTTTTGTTTTATGGAAAGAACCCAATCCTAACACCCTTTGGCAAGAGAGTTCAATTAGCTGTGGAAAAAAGCACCGTCCTACCTTACCAAACTGAAATATAAAACACACTCATCCCTACTAAAGGAAATAAAGACTGTATTGATCGGAACCAGGTGGTGCATGAAAGAATAGTCAAGATTTGCTGAAGCTGCATATATGCTGTCTTCTCATAGAGAGTAGGGACATTATGAAGTCCCTATGTGGGAGGGGTGGCTAGAAAGGAATGGCATATAAAGGGTGGGGTCAGTCAGACCTAGAAGCCAGGCAAATGCTTTTAGAAAGCTTGCTTCCAGGTATTTGTAGGAACCCTTAAAATCAGCAGCCAAATTATTTATACTTTGAAAAATACAGTATTCAGAGCATCAAACTTGGGACAGGTCCTGAAGAGACTTGTGAATATTTTCATCTCTATTCTATAAATAAACTCTTAAATTATTTTACCAGGGAGAGGATGGCTATAAGTGCAGAAGCCAGAAGTTCATACCAGCTGTTATTATGAGGAGGCTTGTCTGTTATAGTAATAAATTGGCCTGAGGATAGTAGTCCCCTTAGGAATGATCATTCTCTTGTTTAATGTACAGGCCATGTTGGTGCGCCAATGCCTTGTAATATTATAAAACTCATTGATGTGGAAGATATGAATTACCTGGCATCCAAGGGCGAGGGTGAGGTGAGCAAAACCCCATTAGTTATTTAGCCTCATCGCCACTTCCTATACTAGCTGCCCATTATGACGCAGCTCAGTAAAGCTATTGAGCTGACTTTATTGGTGATCCTAGAGTCAAGCAGCTTCTTTCTGAAGGTGCATTTATGTTTAACTCTTGAGGGGCAGGGAGGAGGGACACAAGAGCCTGCCTTCTTCTGCCAGACTTGAGAGGGATTTGGGCCCAAGAGCATGCAAATATTCCCATGGCCTAAGTCCTTGGGGCACATCTGTCTGCTAATTGCCCTGGATACCTATTAGTGAGCTACTGGGTACTGGATAGAACCCTAATTACTTAAAAGTGATTTCATCCCCTGTGGGGCTTTCCCAAGGCAAGCATTAGCCTGGCAGTTTGACTGCAGATGAGGTCATTAAGGAAGGGAAGTGGGGGCATTGGAGGTACCCGCAAGATCCCGATGGGGCTCTGGTAACTCCCTCTAGATCATGGAATTCAGGGCTTTTGGTAAAGGCTGGGACACACACACACACGCACGCGCACACACACACACACACACATACGTTTTCTGTGGAGAAGCCCCAGTAGCACACGCACACGCACACACACACACACACACACGTTTTCTTTGGAGAAGCCCCAGTAAATGCTGTTAACAGATCATCTTTTTTTCTTTCTGTAGGTGTGTGTGAAAGGGCCAAATGTATTTCAGGGCTACCTGAAGGACCCAGCAAAAACAGCAGAAGCTTTGGATAAAGATGGCTGGTTACACACAGGGGACATTGGAAAATGGTTACCAGTAAGTCATTGCCTCCCCTGTTCACAAAGAGTTTTGTTGCACTGTAGGAAATAAAATACTCTGTCTGCTATACAGCTGACATGTGCCAGTGTACCCTAAATTTTCTCTTTCCCTTCTCCTTATTGAGTGGTGTGATGTTGACTGTTTCATTTTCTGCAGGGGAAAGGCTTATGTTCTTAGCCTACTTGTTTAGGATTGTCACTTTAACATTAGCAAATACTTTTTTTTCCTGCTTCATATTAACTCTGGTTACTACTTCCCATTTGGAATCCAAAAAGACTATGTTTCTATAATATCAATGCTGTGCCTTGATGTTGAAAACTTAGTTAAACAAGATCTGGGGGAAATTGTGATAGACTGCCAGGAATTAATGATGGGCAAGAATTTGGGAATGAACATGTTTCTTGGGTTTGTCATCTTATTAAAAGTAGGGTGTTTCATGGATCAGACCAACTCCTATGAGTTTAGTCTCAAAACCACTTACTGTAGAGAAATTCCAGAATCCTTCTTAGGAATGAGAGGCTTGTGCAAGAAGCTTTATCTGTCCTACCCATAGGTTTGATCAGATTTTTTTTTGTTGTGGTAACAACCACTGCTTTTTAAAAATTATTACTATGTTGAATTGCAAGCACTAAAATAGCTAATGTAATTTTTATTAATGTGTATTGTCAGACTTTTGTAGATTTAAGGTTCTCGTTACTCTGGAATTTTTCTTCATTAGAAAAATGGCCCCCCAAATTAATTCATATTTCATGATACCCAAACTATTTAGAAATAAATCTAGTCCCTCTTTTCAGGTTCAAGAGGGATTAAATATCAGTTCTAATTCTAACTCTGGCTCTAATGAACACATACTATAACCTCCCTGGCCTTGGTTTGCTCCTTTTGAAAATGGACGAGAACTGGTATGGAATGAGAGAGCCCTAGAAACTTTCCAACGGATGACTTTTGGGGTTGGCCCCTCAGTGGGGATAGGTTGAAAGTAGAGTTGGGGTTTTGATTACCAGAGGTGGGCACTGCTGGGATTTGGCCAGTCTGGTTCAGGGACGCTCACTAGTATTGCCACAGTTAATATCTGAGGCGGTTAACTGACCCTTCCCAAAGGGTCGGGAGTACCACCCCTCACAAGCAAATGAAGGAGACGGACACTCTGCCTTTGTGTGGTAAACATTCCCTGAACCATTACTCTGTGCAGAGCACTGCAGAAAGATAGTCTGTGTCCCTGCTCTCAAGGAACGGAACTCACTCAGCAGAGCCAGATATGTGTGTACCTAATTCGGATAGGAGACTGAATGAAGTGTGCTGAAACAGGAAGCATGCAAAGCACTGCTAGGTGGCTGACAAGTCACTGGGGCCAAGCTGTGAAGTGGAATGGGCTCTGGAGTCCCTTCTTTATCTCTGCCTGACTGAACGGCCTTGGGCCAGTTACTTCATGTCTCTAAGCCTTAGTTTCCCTCTCTCTAAAATGGTCTGATTACTGACCTCTGTGAGATGTTATTAGGATTAAATGACAGTGTATATCAAATACCTTGTACTGTGGGGCTGGCCCGGTGGCGCACTGGAGAGTGCGCCGCTTGGGAGTGTGGCGGCGCTCCCGCCGAGGGTTCAGATCCCATGTGGAGACCGGTTCCCGCTCACTGGCTGAGCGCGGTGCGGGCGCAACACCGAGGGTTGCAATCCCGTTGCCGGTCCCCAGTACGGGCGCGACACCGAGGGTTGCGATCCCGTTACCGGTCAGTAAAAAAGACAAAAAGGAAAAAAAAAAAATACCTTGTACTGTGTTGTGATTGACGCTGGGTGGAAACGAACCAGGGCCCGTTCATAGCCCCCTCCCTCTGATAAACAGAATGGCACCTTGAAGATTATCGACAGGAAGAAGCACATATTTAAACTCGCACAAGGAGAATACATAGCACCTGAAAAGATTGAAAATATCTACCTACGAAGTGAACTGGTTGCTCAGGTGTTTGTGCATGGAGAAAGCTTGCAGGTATGTGGTTTTTTTAGGCTGTGAACCCTGTTGCATAGGCATTTCTAGTGCTTTGTACTTCAAGGGCTTTAAATGTAATTGAAAGTTTGAGATGAGTATAAACCGACTTTCAAGTCTGACATGCTAGAATATCATTAATGCATTATTGCTTTTTGCTGCTTAGCATTTCCTACCCAAAGTGTTTTTCTCTTTCATTTCCATATTTTCATTTTACCTAGAATGGTCTGGTATACCAAGGGAAGTAAATACCCAGCTTATTTATGATGTGCCTCCTAAATCATTTTAAGCAAATGGTGGTTGTGAACCACGAATACTCAAAAGTTGAAAACCAAAATCAATATTTCAGTGAAATGTGTATTTGCCAAAATATTGGAGAGATGATAGCAAGGAAGAGAAAGGGAATCTTAAGATTTTAAAATTATTTTAGGAGGATAGTTTCTTGTAAGAAAATGCACTTATTTTCCTTTGAGATTGCATCTATTTTTTGATCTAGACTATTATCATGCTTTTGATTTTTATTTAATTTTGTTACTGGATTGTAAAGAATAAGGTACAGTGTTAGATATTTTTATAATATTGAATCTGTATAAATTTTTTCTCTTTTTTTAAAGCAGTCATCTGATATCTATGACCTTGTTTGCTTATCTGGCTCTGTTTTATAAAAATAAATATTCACAAAAGTAACTAAAAGTTAGGATTTTGTTAGATTTTGGTTTCCAGTGGTTCTTTTAAAACACTAATTGCAAAATTCCTGATGCCATCTATATTTTAGAGCCAGGAGTTCTTAATGTGGCTCAGTTAACTCCTGCGGGGAGGAGTGTAGAGTGTTCTGAAGAGAGGGTCCGTAACTTTTATCGGACTCTTCCAGGGTTCCACAATGCTGACAAATAAAGAGCCACTATTTTAGCATATCTGGATCAAGCCATGTTACAGTAACTTACTTATCTGTGTTAAAGGCATTTCTCATAGCAATTGTGGTACCAGATGTTGAGACATTATGTCCCTGGGCCCGAAAGAAAGGATTTGAAGGATCCTTTGAGGAATTGTGCAGAAATAAGGTAAGGTTCTAAAGTGTCCAGTCTGTCTTCTGTTTCTTAACTTTGCATTAAGTGCACCTATGGATGTGCAGGGACCTCCAACAGAGGACCTATCTTATTTTTCTTACCCTGTTAGGATGTCAAAAAAGCTATCCTAGAAGACATGGTGAGACTTGGAAAGGATTCTGGTCTAAAGCCTTTTGAACAGGTAAGACTTTCATCTAAATGCATGAATTCCTGTAAAACAAATTTTTGACTTGAAGATTTTTTAAAAGTAGATTATAGAAGAGGATGAGATGACCTAAAGAAATACACGAGGAATGAATAATGGAGTAGTTTGACAGGGGAAGGGTTTTTTTCACCAAGGGTATGGCCTCCCTTTTTCTGAAGGCCAGACTGTGGTCCTGAACTCTATCCTCAGAATAGGATAGCTGTCCTTTGCTGAGAAAGTGCAGTTGGGCTGAAGTAAGAGGCTGGATTAGATCATCTTTATCCCCTTCAGGGGCTTACATGCTTCTTGGACTCTGGTTGCATGTGTCTTCTTCCCTCCTTCTTTGTTTACAGGTCAAAGGCATTGCCCTACACCAGGAATTATTTTCTATTGACAATGGCCTTCTGACTCCAACAATGAAGGCAAAAAGGCCAGAGCTACGGAACTATTTCCGGTCACAGATAGAGGAACTTTATTCTACCATCAAGGTTTAATGTGAGAAGAAGGCTCAGAAGAAGCAGCACACCTCCACAATCTCTTCTTCTACTCATGGCTTTCGTGTTGGTAATTCTGACGACAGCAAGCATAGGGAAGGAAACATTCACGTTTGACTTGTCCATTTCGGGTTCTTGTCATAGGAATATTAGAGGAAATGGAACACTGCCTTACAGTCACCTCATGTTGCAGACCATGTTTATGGTGATATACAATTTCCAAAATGAGCCTTAAAAATTGTAAAGGAGAAACTACAAATGTGCTAAGTTATTTGAGACTTCCTCAGCTAAAATGGTGGGTGTTAAAATTTCTGTCTCCCTGTTTTTCTAACCAAGGAGTTAGGACTTTGCTGTTTCTGAGATGTCTGCTACTTGCTGCAAATGCTGCAGTTGTCTGCTGCTCTGAGGAGTACAGTGCACTGGAGGGAAGCTGTCCCTTTAAAAACAAAAACTGTCCCGGCTGGAGAATGGTGCAAGAGGACCAGAGATTTTTTTTTAATCCCTGCCACCTTCCCTTCCCCACTCACACAGCCCTTCTGATTCATAAGGGTTATGAAACTATACTCTTCTCCATAGTTCCTTGTCATTCCTGTTGGAGCAAGGTTTCTGAAGGATAGATCTAATCGAAGGATAGTTCTAACTTAGAACAGTGCAGATCCGGAGTCTCAGATGAATGGCAGCGACTCATCAGAGCAAATGGATCCTCACACACAGCAGAATGTTCTCAGACTCTGGTCACCAGACCTGATTCCCTCCCTCCATTCCTTCCCAGGGGTTATTAAAAAATCTGCCTTAGATCCTACAGTGAAGACAAGCATTTCAAGAAAGAATTACCTGGATCAACCATGCCTAACTGTGACACCTAAAGAACTGTCCACTTTATCTTCACTGAACCACTCATTCTTTGTAATAACAGCCAATGGATTTTTAATGTGGTTTTCATATCAAAAGATTGTGATGCAGTTAACTTGCTTTTTTCCCCGAAATAAACTCTCAGGCGAAGCATGTCTTTAAAAATATTAAGGGAGTAGGTATACTTGGGTACTTATTGAAATGGACAGTAATAAACACATGTTCTTATATCATACTGCTACCTGATTTCTGTGAAATGTATTTGACAAGCCAAAATTCTAGGATGTAGAAATCTGGAAAACTCATTTCTTGGGATTAACTTCTCAAGAGATTTTTTTTTTTAAGTTAATTTGGGAAATTAACAGCATTTCACATTATTGCAAATCTTTGCCACATTTGACTGAATTAAGCTGTCATTTATACATTTAAAGCAATTGTTTCTGGAAATAAGAGTACATATATTATACAAGCACAACAGGGTTTGCACTAAGGAATTGTCGTTGTAATAACACTGTTTGGTAGCCTAACTTCAAATATGTATTATTCTTAATTGCACAAAAAGTCAAAAATTTGTCACATTGGGGTTTTGAATGTTTGCTTTTAAGTGTTGGCTATTTGTATGTTTTATAAACCAAAACAGAATTTCCAAAAACAATGAAGGAAACCAAAATAAATATTTCTGCATTTCAAGTGAGTGAAGCATCTCTTTTTATGCCAGGTTAAATATTCAGGACAGCCTGTGATACACACAAGCAAAGAGCAAGAGCGGCCCTCAGCCTCAAATTCATCCAAGTCGTTTCCTTCCCTTCTGAAGTGTCCTTCCTCTGTCTCAGTTCTGCTCTGACACTTACAGACACTGCCCCAAGCCTCCCACCAGGTCGTCTCTGGCAGCAGTCCTAATGTGTTGTGGAGAAGAAATTCATGGTGTGAATAAGAGGGAATTCCTGAGAATGCAACTTCTTTGCTCAGCAGCTACATTTCAGGAGACACTGGCTGCCATTGGTGGTTCTGTGGTGGATTTACCTCTAATGTATTTCAGTAACTCTCTTACTATACATCTATTTTAGATGTCTCATTTATAGCAGCCAACTTTTTCTCTCTTTTCTCTATTTCCATGCTACTCCCTGTGTTATTTTAAAGATCTTTTTTCCCCCATAGGTAATAATTAATCATCTCCAATTTCTTCCAAGCCTGTTGTGTTTAAATCCATCTTCCTCCCGCTTTAAATATTATGTTTGGTGTGGTGATGTTTGCTTTCTTCCTCTAAAGCCCCAGCCCTGTGCAAGTATCTCTGATAAAGGCTCCTAATCCTTATCTCATCTCATTTTTCCTCTCTTTTCCTCTTCTCCCTGACTGAAGTGTGAGGTTCTCCAGAGTAGGCATTATCTTTCTGTTCCCTTCCTTGGCACTGAACACAGGGCTTCAAAACTAGTAGATGTTCATTAAATAAACCTTTTGAACAAATACTTGAAATTTTAACAAAGTGTCTCTTGCAATGAGGATGATAGTGAATACTGAATTTTTAAAAAAATTATTTTGAAGGGGACTAGCCAGTTAGCTCAGTTGATTAGAACACAGTGTTATAACACCAAGGTCAAGAGTTTGGATCCCATACCTGCCAGTCACCAAAAACAATAAAAATTATGTTGAAATACACATAAAGTTACCTTCTTAACCATTTTAAAATGTATAGTTCAGTAGCATTAAGTACACTCACATTGTCATTACTACCATCCATCCACAAAACTCTTTTCATCTTGCAAAACAGAAACTCTGTACCCATTAAACAATAACTGTCCATTCTCCCCTTCCCTCACCCCCTGACAACCATCATTCTACTCTGTCTCTATGAATTTCTCTACTCTAGGTACCTCATGTAAGTGGAATCATACAGTGTTTGTTCTATTGTGACTGGCCTATTTTATTTAACATAAAGTCCTCATTGTTTATCCATGTTGTAGCATGTATTGTAATTTCCTTCATTTGTAGGGCTGAATAATATTTCATTGTATTTATTTATATGCCACATTTTGTTTGTCCATTCATCCATTGACAGACACTTGAGTGCCTACTTTTTGGTTATTGTGAATAATGCTACTACAAACATTGATGTGCAAATATCCCTGCTTTCAGTTCTTTTGGGTATATCCCCAGAAGTGGAATTGCTGTATCATATAGTAATTCTATGTTTAATTTTTTTTTTTTAGGAAATGCCATACTGTTTTCCACGGTGACTACGCCATTTTGCATTTCCACCAGCAATGCACAAGGGTTCCCAATTCTCCACATCCACACTAGCACTTGTTTCCTGTCTTTTTTATAATAGCCATCCTAGTGAGTGTGAAGTGGTGTCCCGTTGTGGTTTTGTTTTACATTTCCTTGATGATCAGTGATATTGAGCATCTTTTCATATGCTTGATGGCCATTTTTATATCTTTGGAGAAATGTCTATTCACATCTTTTGCCCATTATTAAATTGGGTTATTTGGGGTTTTTGTGTTATTGAGCTGAAGAAGCTCTTTATATATTCTGTATATTAATCCCTAAACACTGTTTTTAATTCTTAACTTTCATTTGTACTGCTTGGGGTCAGCGCCTGCTCAACAGCGCTAGATATACTATGATGCTTCTTCCCACAAATCAAAATGGCTCCTCATTGGTCTCTGTCTCAAACCCTGCTCTCCAGCCAAAATAGAAAACAAACTATAAGACGGTTGTTTGCCAGACCGTGAGGCAGTCCTTTCTTCCATCCAGGCCCCCTGCATATTAAGCTTCTTTCAGTAACTGCCGTGAGAGCCGAAGTCTCCCAGTAGCGCCTGAGCCTGGAGGCCTCGGGAGCTCGGTCTAGCAGTAGCCTTACTGCCCTCAGAGCTCAGTTGGGCCCCTCCCTCCTGGTCCCGGCGACGACACACCCTCATTTTATATCTAAACTTGGAAAAGCAGTTTTCTTTTAAGTATATTTGGCATTTGGTAGATAAATATTTTTGCCCTACTTTCTATTTTTAGGCTACTTGGAATAATATAACTAAAATGTATGGAATGTTGCTGCATGCCAGGCACATTTTATATAGATTAACCCATTTGGTATTTACAGCCTTTTAAGCCAAATGCTGCTTTTATCCCCAGTTCATAGAGGAAATCAAAGCACACAAATAATTACATCAATGTCACACACCTGGACAGAACCAGGGCTAGCCATCTGGTTCCAGAGACTGAATTCTCAACCTTGTTCTATAGATCGCTCTTCATTCTTGTGCACTTTTGGTGAACTTCCTGACAAACCGTGGACTGCTTGGTGCCAGGCGTTCTGCCTCTGAGCTTCCATACAAATTGTTTGGATTCCATCCAATGGCTTTTTTTTTTATCATAGCAGTGGCTAATACTACTTCAGAGAGTTTTATTCTGGTTTAATGACTTATCAAAAATTAAAGAAGATGCTAGCAACCCCACATCCATCAAAGACCAAAAGCTTGGAGGAACCAGCCACTGTGAGGGGTCTTCAGAAAGTTCATGGAAAGATGTGTATTATCTTTTAATTCCATTTTTCCATGAACTTTTTGAAGTACCTTTATATGTTAGGAATATTTGCCAAAGCTAGGTCACAGGTGTTTTGCAGGTTCATGAGATCCCTTAGAACTTCCAGGAATGGACATAACCTATGGAGATAATAATAGCTACAGGCATTGTGGATTTGCTGAGGGCAGTACACTATGGTGCATTCTTTATGTTCTCATTTAAATTTCTCACAAAACCGCTGTTAGGCAGGTGATCAATCCACAATTATCTGTTTACTGTCAGCTAAGTGCCAGGCTCTTCTCTATGCTACGGGGATACTGCAGGGAGCACAGCAGATAAGATCCTTGCCCCCAAGAAGCTCACTTTCTAAATAAGAAAGCAAATGAACAATTACAGATTGTAATGGATGCTTTGGAGAAAACAATTGTATTGATAGTGCCTTTTTTTTTTTTTTTTTTTTTTTTTGGCTTTGTACAAGACAGAAAATTTATTACCTCTCAAGGCAAGAAGGCCAATAATGAGTGCTTTCAGAGCTGGGTAATTGAGCAGGTCAACAATGATAGTGCCCGTTTTTATGTGTTGTGGTCAGAGAAGGTCTGTTTGAGGAGGTGACGTTTGGGGTGATAACCTGAAGAATGAACAGGAACCAGTCTTGCAAAGCTTTGGGGAAAGTTTTCAAATAGAAGAAATAGTGCAAATGTCCTGGGGTGAGAAAGAGCTCGATATATTCAATAAACTGGAAGGAGGCCAATGTGGCTAAAGCACTGTAAGCAAGGGAAAGACCAGAATCAAAAGAAGTTACAGAAGTAGGACCAGATTACCAGGACTTGTATCCCTGAAAGCAATCTTAATTTTACTGTAGGCTCAGGAGGAAACCACTGAAGGGTTTTTGAGGCGAGCAACATTCTCTGAATTACCCTTTTGGAAGACAGCTCCTGGCTGCTCTGGAAGCAGTTGCAGAGGAATAAAGAAAGGTTGAAGCATGGAGACCAGATAAGGACAGTATAGTATATGACAGCAGCTGGAACCAGGTTGGTGGCAGTGGAGGTAGAAAGTGAATTTGAAAGCAGTTTGGATGTAGAACTACTGCTTGTGGGAAATCAGGAAAAGGGAGGGTTTGGGGTGTAAGCATAGCGGGGTAGATCGTGGAGCTGTAGATAGGGAAGACTCAGGCATGTAGATTTAGAAGGAGGGAATCAAGAGCTTTGATGTGAAGAGTTTTCATTTGAGGTTCCTGTTAGACAACTAAGTGAAGACACATTGAATCTGCAGCTCAGAAGACAGCAAGCTGGAGAGAACAGGAGAATCCTCAGAGAAGGTGTTTAAAGCCGTGGGACTTTACCATGTAACCTGGGGAAGACATGTGGGTAGGAAATAGAGTAGTGCCCCAAACAGGCCTGGGGTGCTCTGATATTTAAATGGCAGTTAAGGAGTCAGCAACAGTGATCGAGAATTACTTGCCTTCGAGGAAGGCAGAAAACCAAGAGTGTGGTGTCCCTGAAGTCAGTAGAGAAAAGTGTTTCAGGAAGGAGGGAAGAGGCATCAATTACGTCATATGCTTTTGAAAGGTGGAATAGGTGGGGACAAAAGAAAGTCTGCTGAATTCAGCGTGATGGCATCCTTGACAATTACCATCCCAGCAGAGTAGGAAGGACAGAAGCTTATTTGGAGTTGAGGCATGAACTCCCAGGAAGTCAGAAAGAAGGGTAGACCACTTTTCTTTGCCATGAGGGACATCAGATGAACAGATTGTAACTGGAGAAAGATATGAGGTTGAGAGGTTGTATTTTTTTTGCTTGCAGGTAGTGGTTGTTTAAGATGGAAGATACTATAGAGCATAATGACATGCTGATGAGACTGATCCTGTCAAGAGAGAATGGTGATTTAGGAAAGAGGAGAAGACTCTGTCTGGAGAGGGTTAGAACACAAGTTAAGTGGAGAGGCCAGCCATCAGTAGGACACGTCCATTGCAACAGAAGAGGAGATGGAGAAGGTGGGTTAGATGTAGGTAGATCTGTGGTGATTGGCATGGAAAGCTTAGGGAGCTTCTGATTACTTCCCCTTTTCAGTTAAGTATTATCTCCTTGTTATGGATGAGAAAATCAAGGCTTGGAGAGCTCAGCTAACTTGTCCAAGGTCAGATGGCTAGTGTATTAGTCCATTTTGTGTTGCTATAAC